TCCTCCTCCTCTTCCTCCTCCTCCTCCTCCTCCTCCTCCTCCTCCTCCCCCTCCTCCTCTCCACAAATCCCACTCCCTTCCAACACTGATTATGTTATCTAGTTGGGTAATAAAACGTCTTCAAGAAAGCCCCACTCCTTTCTAACACTGAGGTTGTCACCTCTGGTTAATGAAATCTCTGCAAGGAAAGAACCAAACTCAGGGAGCACGAAGGACTGCAACTTTGGAGGAGCTGAAGGGCGCACATCTTAAACTTGCTGGGGTTGGGAGACATGGGTCTGTTCCTGCAACTAATAGATGCCATTGTTCTTTCCCTCCCCCTCCCCTTTCTGTAGAGAGTTCAACACCCGCACGAATGCCTCTCCTGCGGGGGCTTCGGCTTCCTTCCCTGCTTCACGTGCCATGGGAGCAAAATGTCCATGTTCCGGAACTGTTTCACAGACTCCTTCAAAGCCCTCCGGTGCACGGCTTGCAACGAGAACGGCTTGCAGCGGTGCAAGAACTGCATGAGCTAAGAAGGGCGCGTGTCTCTCGCGCACAGACCCAAAACCACACGCACAACCTCATTTTATTACGTCGACAGAGCCGTTTGTGATGCTCTCCCTCTCTCTCTCTTTTTTTTTAAAAAAAATTAAAAGCCACCCTGTTTATCTAGCTGAATCGGTTCCGCTCATTTGTGAAATACAGACTGGGAGTCGCAGAATATATATATATAATAAAGTTGGAAGGGACCTTGGAGGTCATCTAGTCTAGTTCCTGCTCAGGCAGGAAACCCTATCCCATTTCAGACAAATGGCTGTCCAGTCTTTTCTTAAAAACTTCCAGTGTTGGAGCATTCACCGCTTCTGGAGGCAGGTTGTTCCACTGGTTAATTGTTCTCACCATCAGGAAGTTTCTCCTCAGTTGCAGGTTGCTTCTTTCCTTGATTAGTTTCCATCCGTTGCTTCTTGTCCTGCCTTCAGGGGCTTTGGAGAAGAGCTTGACTGCCTCTTCTTTGGGGCAGCCCCTGAGATATTGGAAGACTGCTATCTGTACCCCCTCATCCTTCTCGTCATTAAACTAGACATACCCAATTCCAGCAACCGTTCCTTGTATGTTTTAGCCTCCAGTCGCCTGATCATCTTTGTTGCAATCGGAATAGGGAGTTCAGACAGATTGGTCTGATTGTGAACACCTTGACATTTTCAACTGCCATACTGCAGTTTACTCTTTTTACAATATCTCTTGCCTTGCCGCCCCCAACTAGGGGCATAGAGCAGGCTCAAGTCGCAACTGCGAAATATTTTTATATCCAAATTTCTTTTTTTCTGACAAAGAGTAAAGAATTAAATTGGGAGACATGTATATGTGTGTGTGTGTGTGTGTGTGTGTGTGTGTGTGTGTGTGTGTATGTGTATATGTATGTATATATATATATTCTGAGCCATTCTGATTGTAGAGTGACTACCAAATATGAATAATTAGTAAGTTAAGGGAAGAAAGCCCGTTTGGTCTAGTAATTAAGGCACGAGGCATGAGGAGTCTGTGAGTCCTACTCTCACCTTAGCCATGAAAGCTGATTGGATGACTTTGGGCTAATCATGGTTGCTGAAATGGGGTCTGCCTAGTTTAATGAAGAGAAGGATGAGTGGGGAAAAGATAGCAGTGTTCCAGTATCTCAGGGGCTGCCCCAAAGAAGAGGGAATCAAGCTATTCTCCAAAGCGCCTGAAGGCAGGACAAGAAGCAACGGATGGAAACTCATCAAGAAGAGAAGCAACCTAGAACGAAGGAGAAACTTCCTGACAATGAGAACAATTAACCAGTGGAACAACCCGCCTCCAGAAGCTGTGGATGCTCCAACACTGGAAGTTTTTAAGAAGAGACTGGACAGCCATTTGTCTGAAATGGTCTAGGGTCTCCTGCTTGAGTAGGGGGTTGGACTAGAAGACCTCCAAGGTCCCTTCCAATTCTGTTATTCCGTTATTCTCATATGGGTCAAAGATTAGATCTGCCTCTTGGACTTGGCGTATTACCTAGAGCCATTAACGTAGGGGGTTGCATATCACTTACAAAAAAAACCAACCCAGAAATAAATGATTAAAAAAAGGTCTGGATTTTAAGAATCACATCACAGGCCAAAACGTTTGGTTTTGTATATTAAAACAACACGATTAAAAATAATAAAAAGATCATCTTTTCTTTGGACGGCCTATAAATCTCATAAGTAAAATACATTTAAAAGAGAGCCGTGGTGACGCAGCGGCTAGAATGCGGTATTGCAGGCTGACTCTGCCCACTGTCAGGAGTTCGATCCTGACCGACTCACGGTCGACTCAGCCTTCCATCCTTCCGAGGTCGGTAAAATGAGGACCCAGTTTGTTGGGGAGGGAGGCAAATAGGCTGACTCTTTTAGAGGGCTGTAAAGCACTGCGAAGCGGCATATAAATCTAAGCGCTATTGCTAAAAACCATACCAAACCTTTACTTCCTCCATCCTTTTATTTTTTGCTTCCTAAAGAAA